CCTTCCTGGCGCAGGCCCGCCTGGCCTGGGAGGCCCAGCAGGCTCACTACCACATGAAGCAGCGTAGCAGCTGGGACTCCCAGAAGGACGGCTCGGGCTACGAGAGTGACGGCGCCCTCCCCTTACCCATGCCGGGCCCCGTGGTGCGAGCCTTCAGCGAGGACGAGGCCCTGGCGCAGCAGGACAGCAAGCACTGGAAGAGGAACACCTTCGAGAAGCTGGGCTTCCCCCAGATCCTGCTGGAGAAGAGCGTGTCCGTGCAGACCAACCTGGCCTCCCCTGAGCCCTACCTGCACCCGTCCCAGGTAACACACGGCGCCGCGGCATTGGCTCCAGGGTGTCCCCAGCATTGGGGAATTCCCTGCGTGCCCCTCACTGTACACGCTTGTCCTCTCCACCTGGCCGCTTCTCCGTGGCGAGACGAGCAGATGGGGGAGAGCGCCTGAGCCCCCTGGGTTCATGCACTCTCTGCGCAGTGCAACCATCTGCGCACGCATCCCTTGCCACGCTCGGTGTTCCCAGCGCGCGCACGGGCCGCTGTCAGGCGAGGCCTCGTGCTTTGCCTCAATTTAGTATTTTCTTGTGTTCCTGAAGAAACTCCATCAGCAGGGGATGGCAACTGCAGCAGGCAGTTCATCAGTAGGAATGGAGTGGTCCCACGGCACTGCTCAGCCAAGGGCAAGCGTCCTCGGCAGCCGGAGCAGAGGGAAAGCAGAAGACATCCCTAAGGAATCCAAGGGTGGGCAGAGTGGGATGGCTGCTTAGAAATATCGGAGGCCGCCATCAGATTCCCCCCTCGAGCTGGCACTTGGCACCAGCTACTGCAGGACTGGTCTTCCAACCAGGGGTGCTGGTCACCTCCTCACAGGCCAGGAAAGGTCTGCCCAATGCATCTTGCCAGGCAGTACTGGCAGCCGTGGGTAGTGATTAATGCCCACGTTTAGCTGGGAAGGGGGCACACAGCAGGACACTCTCCCTCTTGGTCTCCCACAAAATCCTGTTGGGATCTGCCGGACGGTTGACAACAGGCTCCTCCTGGTGCAGCACCCCGTCAGCAGTGCCGAACGTGGCAGCAGGAGGGATGGGAACTCCTGCCATGGATGGATGCAATTTCTCTGCTCTTGAGCTAGGGCCATCTTTAGAGGCAGCGCCTTGAGGCTGTCCCAGCCCCAGAGCGTCACACCTCTGTCCCTGCCAAAATGTTTTTGCTTTAACCATGCTGTGCACAGAAACATCCAAATTTTCTTTCAATTACTCTGAAGTTTTTGGCCTCTGCCAGTCAGACCCAGTTGAAGACAGCATGTATTTACTTTGCACGATTGCAGTGGAGCCTTGCATCCGTCTTAAATGTTGTTTTTAACTTTCCATTGGATGTCCCTGTGTCTGTGGGTGAAGAAGCGGTTTTTCCCTGGCTGGACATGCAGTTGGAGGGATACAGTGGGTCTGGCTGGCAAGAGCACCCTGTAGCGTGTCATCCTGCTTGGTAAAAATGCCCTAAAGCATGAGGTTTGAGAGGAAAGATGGTTTGGCTCTGAGCCCTGTTCCCATGGGCGTTCCCATCTCTAAGACCGATGACCTACTCCTCCAGCGCCAGCCAAAGGGGAAGACCCCAGTGAAACAACTGCTGAATTCACAAGGGTCATTTGCTACGCTCCCATCCACTGCCTCTTTCACAGGAGTAGGGAAAATATGGGCAGGCTCAGAAAAAAGGTTTGCATTCAGGATTATTTCTAGGCCTGTTTCTTGCGTTCTCTGGCCCGAGACGGGGAAGTTGGGATCCCATTTTCATCCTCGTGGGAGCTCTGCCGATGGCCCTTCTCCTCCCCATCCGCCCTGAGCAGCGGCCCTGCAGGAGCTTGCAGTGTTTTAGGAGAAAGTCCTGAAGCCAAGAGACCTCCCGTTGCCCTAGGCCAAGGGCATTCTCCTCAAGGGCAGCTCTGGAGGAGGAGGCTGCGGTTGCACCTCTTCCCCGTGCTGTGGGAAGGAGGGACTGAAAGGGCTTTTTCAGGAGCTTCAGTTTTTCCACGTCACAGTTGGGAAGCGGAGGTAGGTGGAGCCACCGTGCCGGCGCACACTCTGCACAACCGCAGTGTTCTGGGAGCCCAGGGATAAACACCCGGGCTGCTCCGTAGTGCTTCCAAGATAGCCTCAAATGTCACGAGGCAGGTTTTGCTCCTGGGCCTCGGAAATCTCCAGAAAAAACAGTATTGACAAACTGCCTAGCGTGGAAGAGCATGGTTAAAAACTCTGGCAGCTCTGGTGCAAGCCCGCAGATGTCCTAAAGAAGGGAATAAATCCTCCTCTCCTCTCCCGGACCATCTTCCTACCCAGGGCCCCCAAATGCCATGGCACAGCCAGTTTTCCTGCAGTCTCATACCTGGATATGTAAAGGACATTAAGAACAAACAACCCCTTTCTTGTTTCTCAGCCTCAGAGCTCGTCTACCAGAAATGCGGATTTTCTCATATGTAGTTCATAGCCGTAGTGGTTTGAGATATTGGACCACTTAAAACCCACTGCTGACCCTTCGATTTAGCAGTCATCACATACTTTGGTCGCGGAGGCTGCGTACGCAGCTGAATGGAAGGCGTTGTCGCTCTGACTCCAGTCCCTTGTGGCTGTGGAGCTTCTGCTGTGAACCCGGATAACCCTATATGCTATTGATCCCAGCGTCTCTGCTCCCAGACAATCGAACCCGTGAAAATACTGAGCGCTGGCGGCTGATCTCCATCCGAGCCCTGCAGCAAGCATGCCAGCTTCAGTCAAGTACCCCGATAAAGCTGTTTTTGCATTGTTTGAGCTGCTCTAACTGTCCATCTGCATGCTCTCAACCTCTGGAACATTCAAGTTCGACATGGCTTAGCCCTTTTCCCTTGAAGTCGCCACGGTTGGGTTTCTGTGTGCGCTGGAGCTGAGTGCGCCCGTGCAGACACTTATTGCCCACCTCGGTGGGCACAGCGTGACTGTGAGTCTCGGTGAAGATGTTTTACAATGAGTTATTCCTCCTGCCTGGAGAGCCTCTTCCTCCCTACCCATCCGCACACCTGGGCAGGGGCACAGAGCTGCCGGGTACATGGTTGTGGGGAGCAAGCACTTAATTATGGAGCATCTCTGCAAAGAAAAGGGCAGCTGGTCCCCCTTTAGGCATGGCTGCCGGCTGCTTGAGGCTTCACTGTTTTGTGCTGCTGCGTTCCCTTCTGCAGAGCACTCGCCTCATTCATTTTCTTTCCCTTTCCCTTCAGTATTTCCTCCTGTTTTTTCTCTTAGCTTCGTCCTTGCAGCAGACCTGCACTCGCAGGTGGCATCGATCCAGCACAGTCCGCCTCCTGCTTGCCCTGGGCAGACCTGAATCTCCTATAGTTCAATAAATGAGCTTCCGTTTCCTTCTTCACTAAACAAAAGGTTTAGATAATTCTAGCAAAAAAAACAGTGTCGAAATCCCTTGCTGGTCTGCCAGGTGAGTGGGGTCCCAAGACCTGGCCAGGCAAGCCCAGGATGCTTGCCGGCCTTTCTCTCTCCTCCTCGCCTGCCCCTTCCTGTGGCTCTGACTTTCTTACCAGTTTCCTAGCTCCCTGTCATTCCCCAAGCCCCCGTTCTGCACTCATAAATCTCATGACTGAATTTCAAGAATCAGCACGGTTTTTTTTTCTCTCTACATTTCTTAAGGTTTCTTGTAATAACCTACAGGAGCTCAGGCTTGTGGACACTTGTATTTCCCAGGGCTGCACCACTGGAGGGTGAAGTCCCATGTCCTCCTGCTCAGGACCAGCCAAGGTGCCAGTGCTGCCACCTGTATTTACTCAGTGTATCGAGGTGGTCTTGGTGCCCCTGGTTCTCCTACTGTCGCCCAAAGAACTGCTTAATCTTAGCAGGCGACGTCAAGCTCAGAATGGAGAGGACTCAAGAAAGAGCCACCCATGCAAACGAAAGCTCCTGATGGGCAGAGTGGTTGGGCCGGTTGCATGGAGAGACCAGACTGCTCGAGGTGGCTTTCCAAACCCCTTCCAGCACCTGTTGCGAGCCGGAGCAGCTCTGCACCCCACCAGGCTCTGGCAGGTCCGGCTCACCGGGAAGGAGAGAGGAGTCGGAGGGCCCTGAGTCTGTCCTGAATGCTGGACCGGAGTTGCATCTAAACAGGCTTCTGCTTTCTGGAGCCTCTCCAACCTGCCATGCCCCATTCTGGGCAAGGGGTAGTTGCTGCATGTGCAGATACTACCACTGTTCCCATCTGCGAGGCTGGAGGAGCCCCACGATGGGCTACAGAGGAGGAGGAAGCCGGGACGAGAAGTGCCAAGTAGCCTAACAAGGCTCTTGTCCCACTTCTTGTACAGAGGCGCACGTCATCCCGCTGTGCTGCTGATGGTGTCTGAAGAGCTTGCAACCGTCTGCTCCCCTGGGCAGGGGAGAGCTGCCACAGTCCAGGAGTTATCAAGCTGCTGTCTGGTGCTTGCCAAATGCAACGGGTGAGAAAGCTGCAGCCATGACTGCAGCAAGCTCTGGGCTCTGGATGCCACCGGACTAAAGCTGGAGGGCCCCAGCCACCCCCTGTCCCTGGGGAAAGCTGGAGACAGCTAAATCCGAGCTGTGTATTGAGTAAACCACCGGCCACTTGGTTTGCTAAGTAATAAAAATAAACTCTCTGCTAAACATAGAAAAAAAGAATTCTCTTCATGAAGCATGCATCGAGGCAGCAGATACGTCGGTGTGCAGAGGGCTGATTAACCCTGGGACTTGCTGAACATTGCAGCCTGCTGTTGTTTAGCATCTGTCATCACGCCTCTGGCCATTCAGCGGCATCCGGCGATTGGGTCTGGAAAGCCCTATTTGTCCCAGCAGGGAGGTTGCGGTGGGGGTAGCTGCTACCAAAATTGCCTAGAAACCTTCCCGCTCTGACAACCTGTCCCTCAGCCACGCAGGAAGCATTTGCCAGCGCGATAATTAGATTGCACTGTGCCCTTCTGATTTAGCACATAAATTGCTGCCTCCTTACAGAGCTCGGCTCCCCCTCGGCAGCGTGGCCATGGCTGGGCATCTGGCGTGGGATAGGGCAGAGCCTGTCCTCGCTGCTTCCGCAGCTCGGGGCTTCAGCGGGCACTAACAGAGCCCCTCTCCCAGACGACGCAGGCCATCATGCTGCAGGGGAAGCAGAAGGCAGCACGGCCACAGATGAGTGCCAGCAGGCTCCAAAAAGCCAATCCCTTGGATGCAAATATATATCCACAGTGCGCTTAATCTCCTGTGCCATGAAGTGACCGTGAAATGCAGAGTTGTAAGCACGCTGCAGGACGCGCAGAAACCTGCAGGG